TGGATTCTACGCATCAAAATTAATAAGAATAAGTCTTTTCCCGAGAAATTTTGGTGTAGTCGATTTTTGGTAAAAAAAGAAGGTTGTACACTGCCTTTTTTTTTGGCCCGAAGAAAAAATTGTCTCAGATCGACCCGGAAAAAATGTTTCTTATAGAATGTAGCCTGTAGAATCCATAATTTCAAACAGTTCCATGATTGGGCTACTAGTTCAAAAGTTACAGCCCTTTGAATTTTCTTTCGAAATTGGTTTCTAGTGTATAACTGTTGATTCAGAAGTCTGATCGAAAAAGTACGAATTATTTTGGATTCTACGCATCAAAATTAATAAGAATAAGTCTTTTCCCGAGAAATTTTGGTGTAGTCGATTTTTGGTAAAAAAGGAAGGTTGTACACTGCCTTTTTTTTTGGTGCGAAAAAAATTGTCTCAGATCGACCCGGAAAAAAATTTTTCTTATAGAATGTAGCCTGTAGAATCCATAATTTCAAACAGTTCCATGATTGGGCTACTAGTTCAAAAGTTACAGCCCTTTGAATTTTCTTTCGAAATTGGTTTCTAGTCCATAACTTTTGATTGAGAAGTCTAATCGAAAAAGTACGTATTGTTTTGGATTCTACGCACTAAAATTAATAAGAAAATGTGTTTTCCCGAGAAATTTTGGAGTAGTCGATTTTTGGTGAAAAAGGAAGGTTAAGTATTCAAATACTATGCGAAGTATTCGAATACTTCTCAAAGTATTCAAATACCTTGCAAAGTATTCGAATACTAAATATTTGTGAAAGAATTTGAGTTACAAAGACAAGCACTGCTTCCATAAAAGTATTTAATCACTAAGGTATTTGAATACTTTAAAGGATTTGAATACTAAAAGGTATTTACAAAATCGAATACTGTCCAGCTTTGCCAATACGTATGCTGAAGATTAGTTCACCCTCATTACAAACTCAAAATTAGAAGGGCAATGCCTTTAACCATATTTCAACATACGCGCAGATTGAATTTCGCACTCCACACAAACAAGAGTTCAATCAATTCGTCCTCGACTGAATACATTTTTCTTTATTTATTTTAACAACTAAACCCACAAATTTAGTGTAACGTTCCCTTCTCTTTTTCCTCAGATAGATAATTTCGTTACACTTGAATTTAGACAGCCAGCATACGGAAAATCCTCTTTGACTAAACTTTTGACCGGAAAATCTCCTTTTGCTTCTTATTTCGCCCATTTTTAAATGTAATATTTTTGGGAAACTAGCTAGAAATTCGAGTTTCAAAAGTATGCCGGGAGAAAAATGAATTTCCGCTATTGTAAAGAAGTGTTTGCGGCAACTTAACTGTTTCTAGACCAGATTCCTTCAAAAACTACCCATTCTAACTGAATTAATGACTATACCCACAAAATGGCGAATTGCTAATACAGATGGACTAATTGAATCGTTAATTCGTGGCTTAAATCCCTGTCAACGAATCAAACAAATCACATCTTTTTAAAATATGGCAAATTTGCAGTTTCCACCCTACTGCATGGTATCACGCTGATAGTGTATTTGTAACTAACTAGCCGTTAATGCTTTGTTTATGTATAAACATTTTTAAAACCTGAATAATTAGTGGTAACTTTCTGAACACTAATTAAGTAATAAACATTAACTAATATTGAATCTACACATGTCATCCCTAAAGTTGTATCATAGAGTAAAAGCAATGGTTGTATACACGTTGGCTATCATTTTCAATTTTTGGCCCTTTTATTTGAAGTGAATGTGGTGCGAATTTATACTGCGGTTCCTCGAGAGCATTTCCGGCTTCTCTGGAGTGTTTTCTTCATTTATAACATGTAACCAGAGACTTATGGCAAGTCTCTGCATGTAAAAAATTTGAGCCATGATGTTAACTCATAGTTAACACAAGAGATACTTCCAAAGCTGCGGTAGTGAGAAACTGTGAGTGAATTAATTATGAGCAGTTCTTTTTATGAGGTCACGATTTTCAGTTTTGGGTGAATTTTTGCCCTAGGTTGGTGTAAATTAAACTTATGATGACAATTAAATTAACACATTATTGCAAAAATTTTAAAAAATAAAATTTTTTACGCAATAGATTGCTTTTTGAGGTATTCACTGCAAGTTAACTATATATAAATACCAACAGTTAGATATGGCAACAGTTTTTATTGGAACACTCTTGGGGTGCAAGCAGCCGACGTAATTGTCCCCACCTACTTACGGAGGTCAAAAATCTGTCAATAAATAATTAATTACCAGAATAAGATTTTTGGTCCTTTATGAAGAACATTATAACTCAACATGGATTTTTGAATTATCTTTGGCCTATATTGTGTTGTAAATTACACAAAATACGATGTCAACGACTGATTTTCGAATTCATGGGAGCCCCCTCCAAGATAGGCGGCGGCACCCCCTTGGGAATTATCCACCCCGTAACTGATGATTGGGTAGTTTCTTTATGAGCATTTTTGTTGTAACTTGCGATCCAAAGTGAATCAGATGCGTGATAGCTGCTATGGTAAAAAAATACAACATGACTGAAATGACAATATTGAAATTGGTTTCATTGAAATTAACAAAACAGAAATGGAAAGTTAAGAATTTTAATACTGTAAAGTATATTTAAAAAGGTGAGAGAATTACTTATCGCTTATCGGTTCAACCAGACGTGCCGGGCCGTTCTTTTTTGAATGCATGAGTGTACGGAACGGGTAGGGTGGGTATTTTGAAGGCAGTTTCAAATGTAGCATTTGAGAGAACAGTTCGTGTTGTACATAATTTAAATATCGTCTGCAAATTGATTTCTCTTCTGTTAATAATAATTGTTCGCGTATACGTTTAATTATAAAGTGCGATATGGGCCATAGGTGACCTCATCAAATATCTACTGGTTTTCCCGCCTCAATCACAAGTAAGATTTTTTTATACGTGCACATAATCTTTTTAACAAATTTATGAGCAAATTTAATTATGAAGGGAAATCGAAAATAACATCACTCGCTTTTTACCTCTTCTCTTAACGCTTTAGCCCCAGCCCCTTAAATTTTAAGCTCCATACTAGAGCAAGTGACATATAGAGTGTGTGATGTTCTCTGATTTGGTGGTATAATTTCCATAATTAAGCAAAACATTTTCTCTTGATTTAAAATGCGCTTAGAGGGTTGTTCGGACGATCATTATGCCTGAACAATAAAGGATTTTCCAATAACGATATGTTTGCTGACCTAAGGTATTATATTACTCAAAAACGAAGCTATGACTATAGGTAGATAGAGAGTAGATTTCTCTAATGCTAAACTATTTTCAAAGAGGTCTAATTGCGCTTTTACTTAAAAGAACTATATTTATTTTGATTTGACTGCCATTTAATTTGTATGGCGTCTTTACCCCAACTATCTTGAAACGAGCTCAAAAATTTTAATTGATGGTGAATCAAATAGTCGTGGGTACAATCTTTCTTAATCAACAGGTAGGTAAGTAACGGACTACCTCTAAACTTGAATTTACACAGTAGGCACTGCAACAGTCGGCGGGATGGATGGTACGGTAACTCGAGCGCTACCATGAGATTGGGAAACCCCGCTTCCGGAATGGTCTCGGGAGCCTCAGCTAATCAGACTTAAGAAAAGGCAATTCCAGGGAATGGGCTGTTTGTCATTATCGAATCATCTAAAACAGAATTACGGCACACGAAAATGGTAACGATTTCCAAAAGCAAGAACGGAAGCGCAACTTAACTAACGGTATGTAACGAAAACAAAACAATTAAAAGAAAGCAGCCCCCATTAACGGAATGAAAATATCAAGCGCTTATTACCTTGATATAGTACAAAAAAAATTGAACACTATGACACAAAAACCCAAAACGGAAAAAGATCGCCCTAAATAGTGCCGCTACCATAAAATCCCAAAAGAACTCTGACTTTCCAGCCGAGCCGCGTACTCGGGTGATAACTTTCAAAAAATTAAAATTTTAATTAATTACACGATTTCCTGTTATCCTAAAAATCTGGGACCCAATTAACGGAGCCGAAATCCCAAAATGTTAATTTTTCCCCTGCTTCCCTATACCGAGGGCTGTCGGATGCTATAAAAATAATTTACATATTTCTACGGGAACAATTAGAAACTTTCACAATTATGGTCGGCGGCTAGTTTTCCTTATCAGCGGTTAAAACTGCTCTACAAACTAAAACATTACTTTTCTCTTCAACATATTTCTTACTGCTAATAGTACCTTAAATGTATACATATGTGAGCCAAGGCTATATATACTTTTAAAAAACCATGTCAGTGCATGGAATAAATGGTTATTGGCAACCAACTCTACCTGTAATAAAATCCCGAAGGTGTACAAAAGTGAGATGAGCGATTGGCAATGTTTTTTCTAATCACCTCACCATGCACTTTGCCGAACGCGTATTGAATTCCCTTTGGGCTTATTTTAAAACGGGAAGCGTCGAGGGAACTCTCAATAAGCTCGAATAAAAAGGTAAAAAGCATAAAATAAC